AAAAAAAAAGAAGTAAAATTATGGGCCAAGACCTTGAAGAGGCTACTATTCTACATGCCTATGGGGTCCAAGTAAAGTTTTCAACCCTTAGCTGGTGTCTGGAAGGATCTGAGGCTCTATGTACTATGTAGCTGAGATTTACCGCTTCGTGCTGGAAGGTTGAGACAGTTCAGAGTTCGGTATTAGCTTGAGGGGTTTAGGGGTTTAGAGTTTAGGGTTTAATTAGGGCTTTACTAACGGTGATGCGGTGTCACGACAGCAAAGAGCAGAACAAAAAAAAGACTCAGCTGCACCTCCATGGGTTCGTCTGCACCCATCCCCACTTCCGTCTCCTGTTCAGAGACGGCGGAATCGAAGCACGACCCTTACACTGTTAAAAACCCGAGTTCACTTTATTGAAGTCGCTATACAGCATCAAAAAGCCCTAGTTTACTTTTGTCAAGCCGCTATACAGCGTCAAAAAAGCCCTAGTTTACTTGATTCAAGCCGCTATACAGCATCAAAAAGCCCTAGTTTACTTTATTTGGAGCCGCTATACAGCATCAAAAAAGCCCGAGTTTACTTTATTCAAGCCGCTATACAGTACCAAGCCCTTCGGAATCGTGGAAGAGGCACCCTTCTTTGGAGTTTCCATGGTCGTCATCGGAGTGCGGGGTCCTTTGAGGGGTAGGGGAGCCACGAAACATGCCTTGACAAGTGTTGTGCGTATATATCTATATATTAATATATGAATATATAGATATATTCTACAGATATATTTAATACATGTATATATATATATATATGGGGTGTGTCCTGGCATTTGGATCTAAACTAATCTAAGCCCTACACCGAGAAACAATAAGACTAAACAACTTCGAGGATCCCAACCCAAAGACTCCAAACCAAATCCGTCCCTGAACCCTAAACCCTGGAAAAAGTCCTCAAATTCGGCCATTCAAAAAGCAGCCCTACGGCACCCTAGAAAACCGTAATCTCTCAAGCCTAAAGACCTAAACTTAAAACTTAAAACCCTGAACGCTGAACCCTGAACCCCAGATCCGTTTTGGGATGCATTGCCTCGCCCGGGGCGGCTGGCGCTTTCGCACCGGCACTGGCCGAATTCCAAGCAAAGCGAACGACCTTGGTCTACATGTTAAAATCTACATCTGCTAACGGTATTTCTATAAAACTTCTATCAACAAATACAGGTGTATTTTAACGTTAAGATAGAATTTTGTTATAACAGACTTTTAGCTAAGGCTTGGACAGAACATGCTTTTGACAAACTATGAATTTTATGTGATGTAACAAGATGCGATGAGTCTTATAGACAATAGGCTACGGCCTGAATAGAGAAATAATTTCGGCATCTTTATGGGTTTATGGTTTAGTCTTGGAATAAGAAACCTTCCCACCGTGAGATAGAGCACCCCCACAGACAATGAGCTGTGTTGAAACTAGGAATCCATCCCAACAGGTCATGTGCACTCAGAGAGAGAGAGAGAGAGAGAGTGAGCTCATTGAAACCTTGTCTTTGCAATTTTCATAAAGCCTTTGAATCTGAAGACAACATTACCGAAATTCGATACGTTAACTCTTAATTTGTCCGACCAGCAGACAAAACTGTGTTCATGAGCGACAAAAGTAGTAGGTGATGAAACTTAAATTACAGTAGGTTGCATCTACCCAGGTCGTCCCTAGATCCTAATCCCCGAGACGCTTGAATGTATGATAGTGTAGCCTGCAAAACAAAAAATACTACTGCACGACGTGCCTCATCCACGGCTTAATATAAAGCCTGACAGGGAACATCCCCAAAAACCTAGTAGGGCCTTTTGTATGTAGAACGGGGTTATGGGGTAAGTTACACATACCATGACTAGGGTTACTGCGAGGGTTGCTGCAAGAGCTGAAAAGGGACCATAACGGCATGTCGGTAATGTAGGGGCCTTCAGAATTGGGATAGCGTTGTGGGATGTAGTATACTACAATTATAATAAGGACCTGCCAAAACAGCATAGGTAATTATTAAGGCCCCTATATTCCTACATATTCGGACCCTCCTGTTGCATTCTGAAATGGCACGCCGCCAACCCCGGTGCCAAAGAGACAATGTGGAGGCTAGTGTTGAATCCGTCATAAGCAGGAACCCCAAGGTAGTATATGATGCATAGTAGAAATATATATATATATATACATATATATATATATGGTATACAGTATATTGGTCTATAGTTCAGCCCGGACTTAACATTGAATCAAAAGCCCGACTTGCACGTATCGCAGCCACAACTTGGGCATCCGCCAAAGCTGTACAGTCGTCCTGACTCTCCTTCTCCCTTGCCCGCTTGACAAGGGCCTGGTGGGGGGTGCCAGTCCACAGTTTAGGGTTTAGGGGTTTAGGGTTTAGGGTTTCTGGGTGGGGGTTTGGGACTGAGAGTAAACAGCTTCAGGCTTGGGGGATTAAATTCGTGGCTAGACATTTTGGTGCGCACTGAACCCCCAACCCGAATCCGTTTGCAATCTCAGTGCCACGTATCCTGCTGGCTTCAGTGTAGGCTGTCCAGATTTGTCCAGGAAAGGGGTCCATGTGTCATGTGCCCATATAATTAGGAAACGCGTCTGCGTTAAAGCTACCCTACCGGAACCCCGTTCGATCTAGATAAACCCTTCAGAACCTCAAAAGCCTTACCGGCCCGAAGATAAACTCTACGAAGCACTTGAATCATTGAAGGAATCCTTCTACGTACATGGACCATGAGGGCTTCCCAAGACTGCAGAAATTTAAGCGCAACTAAACCCTAAACCCTAAACCCTAAAACCCCGCCCCGGTTTTGCCTCGGCGGCTTTCGTTTCCGACAGGCCCTCCTGGAGGATTTGTCGGACGAGGCCCACCTCTTTCGGGATCTGTAGGGTTTAGGGTTTTAGGGTTTACATAGGGTTTAGGGTTTAGGGTTTAGGGCAAGGGGGGCCTTCATAGTTTAGGACTTAGGGTTCAGGCTTTTTTGGCTCAGGGATTCAAGGGGGTTTAGGGCAAGGCCTTCATAGTTTAGGACTTTGGGTTTAGGGTTTTTGGTAGGTGATTTAGGGGTTTTCTGGGGTCCGGATCTAGAGTTTGGGGCTTAGGGTTTAGGGTTCGGTGAGGTTTTGGCAAGTTTCAGCAAGATGTTGAGGAGGATCGGACACCGAATTCCTGATGCCATGGATTCAAAGTAACTATGGCGATGTCGTGCGGGATAGGGCATCTATGCACACTAAGATTTTGAGGCAGATCATAACTGCTTTGACCTTGGTATCATCTATAAGGGCATGCTATCAAAAAGATGGCTTTATCTCATTGGTTAGACCAGGGCCTGCAACAGCCATGCATAACATAACAACCCTCATAGCAACCCCTATAGGACTCTTTAAGTAAAACTCAGTTGGCCTTTGAAGGCCTCTGAACATTGTTCGTAAATAACGTTCTCTTAAGCCCAATACGAGGACTTAGAAAACATCCCGAAACCCTACCTGGCACAGGAAACCTGGAGACTCCTATTCCAACTCCTGACACTAAACCCTAAACCCTAAAACCCTAAACCCTAAACCCCTAACCCCTAAACCCTCAACCCCTAAACCCCAAACTCTAAACCACTAAACCGTAAACCCCTAAACTGGGGCCCGGTCGGAGTCTTTGTCGGACAGGACATCCCAGATGCCATCCGTGGCCAGGATGACAAACCTTGAGGGTTTAAGGTTTCGGGTTTAGGGTTTAGGGTTTATTCAATAGGTCTGTATACCTTGAGGGCGACATGAACCCTAAAAGATTTAGTTTTTCTAAATTTGATTCGTTGTTGTGCCAGGGTATAGGGCCCCTACTTTGGAGGGTCAGTCGGTAACCCCCACATCCTAACTTCGAGTTCCTGACCCTGAATCTTGAATGTAACATCCCAAACCCTATAAACCCACCCAGATCCTAACTTCGAGTTTCTGACCCTGAATCTCACATCCCAAACTCTATAAACTCCCAAATCCTAACTTCGAGTTCCTGACCCTGAATCTTGAATCTCACATCCCAAACACCCCCAAATCCTAATTTCGAGTTCCTGACCCTGAATCTCACATCCCAATCCTATCAACACCCAAATCCTAACTTCGAGCTCCTGACCCTGAATCTCACATCCCTAACGGCTTCTTGCTCAGGCTTGTCAGAAGGTCTTTGTCCTTTCTTTTTGGCTTCTTTGTCTTCCCTGTTGGCGTCCCATTTTGATTGCGCCTGTTCCGCGGTCTCTTCTTCCCCAGCTCCCATGATAGCCGCATGGCTTTCATCAGCGTTGGCCGGGTCTTCGGCTCCGGGATCGGAATCCGCTTCCGCGTCTGCCATGATTCCTTTCTCAAGTTTTTCCCCGTGCGAGCCACTGCTGCGTGTCTGCAGACTGCCTAGGAGCCTCTAGGTGTCTGCCAGCCCGAGCACTAGCACCCGAGCTCGCGGGTTTGGGGTTTAGGGTTTGGGGTTTAGGGGTTCAGGGTTCGCAACCTCAGCACAAAATTTACACACGGCGATTCTCTGCATTCCTGCTACGTAACCCCAACAGCTTGACCCTAAAGTCAGACTTGAACCCTCACCCCTCGGCCCTAGTAGCTCGATCCGAGGCACCCAAACCCCAAACCCTAAACCCCACACCGCAATTCCCTAAACCCTAAACCCCAAACCCCAATTCCGTAAACCCCAAACCCCAATTCCCTAAACCATAAACCCTAAACCCTAAACTCCAAACCCCAATTCCCTAAACCCTAAACCCTAAACCCTAAACCCCAAACCCGAATTCCCTAAACCCTAAACGCCAAACCCCAATTCCCCCATTCCTAAACCCCAAAACCCTAAACCCCAATCCCCAATTCCCAAACCCAAAACCCACCCTCTTCAAGTCTTCCTAAACTGACAGCTCGAAGCTTATCCTGGCCAAGGCGCTCGTCGGCATCCCAATCTACCTGTTTCGACGACCTAATATAGGAGCCTTAATAATTAGAATAGGGTTTTGGAGCCCATTATACTATAATTATAAAAAGGACCCCCCAAAATAGTATAGGTAATTGTTTAAGCGCCTACATTAAACCCTTAACCCTATTTTTGGGTAGTTCTCTCAATTAGGATCCCTTTTCGTGTCCTGTTTTTAATAGGGTGCCGTACTACTTGGGGACCTAAAAGGGAACCCTAATTTAGAGAACTACCCAAAAGATTTCAAGTCGAGGGTTTTCAGAAGGGACGTATGGGGTTTCATAAGGGTGTTAGGACTACGGGTTTGTGGTCCTAAAGTCTAATGGCTGGTATTCTTTCTGTCTGCCGTTTCGTTCTGTATCTGCTGAGATGCCAACTAACCCTAAACCCTAAACCCTAAACCCTAAACCCAGTTGGGTGGAGGATACGGCGGCTCGACCTGCAAAAAGCGCTGGCGCTTGCGACGCTCGTGGTCAGCCTGCAGTTATGTTAGGGTTTAGGGTTTAGGGTTTAAGGTTTAGGGTTTAGGGTTTAGGGTTTAGGGTTTAGGGTTCAGCAGCCGCGGCGTTTGAGGTCAGAGCTTCCGCTGTCAGTGTCTGAATGTGCATATCTCACTCACGCAGAACCGTCTTGCACACGAGTCTCGTGTTCGGGCTGCAAGAGACTGCTTCGAGCAGACTCTTTCGGAGCCGCGACACGCTGTTGGAGAAATAACTGCTCATATAAATGAGATAGGGGGGGGCCTTAAAAACAATTGGAATAATGTTTCTGGCTATATTATACTGTCATGATAATAGGGAGCCCCAGGAGACTGTTTGTGATTATAGGTTGTGGAGTCTAGACTCCACCCCAAAGCCACCAAAAATCAAAGCCCGTGGGGGTTTGAGGCTTAGGGTTTAGAGTTTGGGGTAAGGGGTCCATGTACCGAAAGGGCTCAAGTCCACAACTCCACACTCTGAATGGTTTTTGGTACCAGAAACCCCACCTTGGGCCCTCAGCTTTACATCCGTCAGCCCGTATTCAGAACTACGGCTAAGGTTTAGGGTTTAGGGTTTAGGGTTCAGGGTTTAGGGTTTAGGGTTCAGGGTTCTGGTCCTGAAGACCTCGGCCCGGACATCCGAGGCATCACGGAGCTTCTGGCTTGCTGCAGAAGTCAGGAATTTTTTTGTTGCAGGCTCCCTGTTGCTAAACATCTCAGTCTACAGAGCAACCAAAAAAGGCCTACAAGGACTTGCAGACGTAGGGGTTAATAGGGTAGGTTCAGGGTAAAAAGTCGTTGATGGTGTCATGGTCCAGAAATTCCCACGGACCCGCATAGGAGGTAGACTCACCGAAATTGCTGCAGAAGTGTCCAGGCCCAAAACATCGCACCAAACGCAAGTATCTACCCAACATGGTGAACACTAAATATCCCGAAACCCCAAAGCCTATACTATACCCTAAATCCTAAACTAAATACCCCGAAACCCTGAAGCCTATACTAGACCCTAAATCCTAAACTAAATACCCCAAACCCTGAAGTCTATACTATACCCTAAATCCTAAACTCCATACCATCGCTCTACCGAAGGCTCCGAAGCGTCGGACCTCGTGTACGGTGATCTCCGGCTCGGCGCTCACGATGTCGGGGCCTCTTCGGATTGTGGTTTGAAGACAGCCCAGATCGGCAGGAATACGCCTAGAAGAAAAACACATCTCCACACTTATAATGGCCCCTAAACCCTCAATAAACTTGAGGTTTATGTAAGGGTTTGTAGGATTATGTAGGGTTTGATGGGGTTTCAGGTTAGGAGCTCAGACTCAGGTTTGGGGAAGATCATGAGCAGCCTTGCCAACACCCTTGAAACCCTAAATCTGAGATTCCTAAAGCCCTAAACGCTGAAACCATAAAACCCTACTGAAAGGATCATAGGACTTAGTAAGTCGGATTATAACTAAGGTAACTGTACTTATACTTACCTCTAACCCCAATTAAGAGACGTATAACCTTACTTACTAAGTCCCATGATCCTCCAAGTGCCCTAAACCCTAAACCCCTGAACCCCTAAACCTTAAACCTCAAACCCTAAACCCCTAAACCCCTAAACCCCAAACCCTAAACTCTAAACCCTAAACCCTAAACCAAACCCTACCGGCCTTTGAAGTCCTTGTCGCCAAAACTCCGCGACACAGCGAGGCCGGCGATCTTGCTGAGGATGCCTGGGCTTGGGCTTAGGGTTTAGTTGAAGTTTGGGGTTTAGGGTTTAGGGCTTAGGGTTTAGTTGAAGTTCAGGGTTTAGGATTTAGGGGTTTAGGGTTTAGGGTTTAGGGTTTAAGGTTTAGGGCTTTAGGGTTTAGGGTTTAGGGATTACCCTTACCCTCAAAGGACTCATAATTTCAAGGCTTTTGGGCCCAAAGGCCCCGTTATATAAGGCTTCTGGGCTGTTTTGATGCTGGGGGTTGAAGTGTAGTTGAATTTTAGGATGTTAAGATTTGGGATGTTGGTTTTAGGCTTCTGGATTTACCGTTTATTTTCTTGGAGTACTGAACCTCTCTCTGCCCGATACCCTAGCTCCAAGAAATCCTAAACATTCAACCCTAAACTTGTTTATGCTTCTGTCCTAGGTACTGTTACGTGTGAATACCTTCCCTAATACTGACACCTAGTATAGAAACCCGACCTTCTGCAATCTAGGTACTTAGGACCCCTTGGGTACCTCAACCCCGAATAACCTACCGTTTTAGATCTTAAGGAACTTATGATCAGGAACCCTCAATACGGTTGATAATATAAACCCTGCATTACCCATAATCAGAATTATAGCATAAATCCCATGGCTTGGGGGGTCCTTAAGGTAATGCAGGATTTATATCATCAACAGCAGTACTTCCAATTCAAGAAGCCCGACAAACTACTATATGGGGGTTTCCGACAATAGGGGACCCTAAGATAGTATCCTAAATAGTCGGATCCTGATTACAAGGGCCCCCAAAATGAGGTACCCATGATTTTCGGAAACTCCCATATAGGTAGTTAGGACCCTTTGGGACTGAGCTCAGCGCGCTTCTTCTGGGGAAGCACTGCCCGCCAAATTCCCGCGACTTCCACCACGCCGCCATCGGCAGCCTGGTGGACCGGCTCTAGGGGACTTAGGCAGGGTTTCGGGTTTAGGGTTTAGGATTCAGGGTTTAGGCGTCAAGGGCTTTACGGTTTATGCTTTAGGGTATTAGGGTACAAATGTGGGACCCTCCACGGCGTCTTGTTGCGGTTTCTGGACGTGCTAGAGCGGTTCTATGAAGGGTACTGTGATACAATGAGGGTTTAGGGGCTGTAGAACTTTATAGGGTTCTGGCTTGGGTTTCTCAAGGGCACCAAGTCACGGAAAGGTTTCAGGGGTTTCGGGTTGTGGCCTCCAGATTTAGACTGGAACCAGGCTTCCTTGCTACAGTAGGGCTCCAGATGCCCCATCAGCAGGCTACTACTTCTTTAGATGTTACAGTATAGTTATGGCCGAGTAACCCACACACCAGGGCCTTGCAGTTCATAGGATGTTGAGATTGAGCGGCTAGGGGAATGGGAATGTTGAGAGGTTAGGGGCATGCTCGTCCTTTCCATCAGCCACCTACTTATGAAACCTTCTTCTCCTACAACGTAACTTTACGAAGCACCATAAAGCTCTCCAGGGAACCCTTCTAAAATCCTAAAAAACCGTCTTAAGCCGGACTTAACCCTTCTAAAATCCTAAAAAACCGTCTTAAACCGGACGTAACCCTTCTAAAATCCTAAAAAACCGTCTTAAACCGGACGTAACCCTGAACCCTACCAGGACCCCCCAAATACCCTTTCATAGAGCCCGTATGGTCCTTAGTATTGGGCATTGTTAGGGTTTAGGGTTTAGGGTTTAGGGTTTAGGGCATAGTCAAGGGTAGTTGGGGGGACTAGGTAAACCCCACGCCCCCAAAACCCTAAACCCCAAACCCTCACGCCCTAGAAACCAACGCCCAAGGCTTTTAACCCGAATCTCTTGGGCACCAACCACTAGAACCGTCAAGCCCTAAAAGGGTTTAGGGTTTAGTCAAGTCTTACAGGTTAAGCAACCTCTCAAGCCCTAAAGCCCAACACCTCACTTCCGAGAAAACCGAATCCCCCCAAACTCCTGTCTTCACCTTCTTCTTGCTGATCGGACATCTGGAAAGTATCCCAGAGCCTTTATGCTTGTACCTGCACCTTGCCAGCGCATTCATGTGGCCATCTGGATGTGTGCATCAAATCCGCCCTGCCATCGTTGCAAAGCCCTAAACCATAAACCCTAAACCCTAAACCCTAAACCCTAAACCCTTCACTGCTGTGAGCGCGAGTGTCCACGTCCACGATGCGCCTTTTTGGTGCCGGGCCAGGGGCCTCAGCATCTTTAGGGTTTAGGGTTTAGGGTTTAGGGGCTTCAAAGTTAGGAACGAAGGCATAGGCAAAGCATCTTCAGCTCGAGGATCTCATTCAACAAGCGTGACCATAATAAAGACAAACTCTTGCCGGCGCGCCCCTCCAGGGCGCCGCCTTGATCCGCAAAGAGCTTCTGGACCATGTTGCACTGCGTACGCTTCAGGAAATCCTTCCACATCTGTCCTCGAACTCTGAACCGTGAAGCTCGAAACTCGCGAAACTTTAAACCCTTCAACCCTCAAGCACATACGCTGGAACTCTCAAACCCTAAACCCTAAAACCCCTAAACCCTAAACCCGCTTAACCCGTAGCTCTCAAACCGACACATACAGCCCTGAACTCAAAAGAAGGCGGCACCCTTAGAAAAAGGACCCTTAAAGGGACCCCCATTACAGGATCCCTTCTAAAGGGACCCTAAACTAGAGAACTACTCATACCCCCGAAACCCGGGCAGTCAAGTTCATTACCCCTTTATCCTAGTTCAACTCTTACGATTTAGGGTTTAGGGTTTGGGGATTGGAGGCTTAGGGTTTAGAGGTTTAGGGTTTAGGGTTTAGGCCTTTAGGGTTTATTTGTGTTTATTTCAAAATACTAAAGCCCTCAACCCTTCGCACGAAATCTCCGGACCCGAATTCTGAAACTCCAAGCACATCGCCTCGATTCGCTTCTTCTCTGCCGGCAAGTTGGGCTTGTGGTCCTACATGCAGGGGGTTGGAGGGTACTAAACCCCAAACCCTAACCATGAGATTCTGCAGCGGTTTGGGGCTTTAAGAGTTTGGGCTTTGAGGCTATTGTAGTTTAGTTGTTTCTGAGCCCTAAACCCTAAACCCCAAGCCATCAACCCTAAACCCTAAACTGTTCAGGGCTGGGGAGCTTTAGGGTTTCGGGGTTTAGAGAGATTTAGGCTGCTGACGGCTTGCAGGGCCTGGAAGCTTAGGATTCCTTTCAGGGTTCATTTAGGGTTCCGTTAATTCATTTAGGGTTCCTTTAAGGGTTCACTTAGGGTTCCTTTAAGGTTCGTTTCGGTTTCCTTGAAGGGTGCATGTCGGGCGTTGCTTTGAGGGTTCATTTAGGGTTCCTTTAAGGGTTCGTTTCGGTTTCCTTTACGGTGCATTTAGGGTTGCTTTAAGCGCTCATTTAGGGTTCCTTTAAGGGCTCCTTTCGGGACTTCACTCCAGGCTACAATCGTTTGCTTCTGTCTTTTTGGAATCCTTAAGGGAGGGGTTCTAAAAGGGGTATATAACCCAGTAACCCCCAATTCTCCCTAGTACTCCCCTAGGTTCCCTAAGCTATCTAGGACCCTCCCCCCTTGAGCCACCCTCCCTTAAGGATCCTATGAT